TCCTCCTAGGTAGGTCGTGTAATGGCGCGAAAGCGGCCTATATAAGGCCGCCGCCGTGTCAGTATTGTAAAGTAGTGCCGATCCAGTGTGGGGTTGTGGAAGTGTGGAGGCGATCCAGACAACGCACGAGGGACGTTACTACGCCGAATTACTGCCCAGTCGAGGAAACGCTTAGCCAGTAAACCCAACAAACGAACAAATAATTGGCCAACGTACGGTCTGCCCGTGCGAAGATGCGTTTTTTGCATGGCTCTGCGAAGATTTTTATCGCTAGCGGCACTGGTTTTTCTGGCAAATGCTTCTAGCTAAAAGAATTTCAGTCTGGCCGCCAGGACTGTCAGAAAACGTCCCTTCAAAATTCCAGACTTCTAGCTTCTCACTTTTCCGAGTTAGCAATTTAACAGGAAGAAACTTTCAAGGGCCCATACGTAAGTATCACGCTTACCCGCAGGCAGAGTTTGAACACGTTAATACCTACTTGGACAGGGAACATTGCCCTAGTATTTCAGCGTTCTAGCTTCTCAGGTCTCCAAGTTATGATCTTACCTGAAGAAAACTTTGGTATGCCCGTACGCGGATACACACTTACCCGAGGGATGAGTTTCAGTGCATTAGCACCTACCTGGACGGGGGACACTGCTCTAAGATTTTAGCGTTCTAGCTTCTCAGATCCCCGAGTTATGAACTTACTCCGAAAAAACTTTGGCGAGCCCGTACGCGGGTACCACGCGGGTTTTGGCGCCCATTTTGGGGATTGGTGCCAGCACGTGCATGTAGATTAAGTTCCCAACGTTTCAGCCCGGCAGCTTTTGTAGGTCTCAAGATGAAAAACCGTGACAGACGCACACACAGACACACAGACAACTTCTCGTCAATATGGGTTTTCTGCATTGCATAGCTGCAAAAAAAAGCACAATAAAAAAGGCAACCTTTCTCCAATGAAGGCACATTTTGTGAGGTGAGCGTAATGCGAATACGATGCTCCGTATCATCTAAAGTAACCGGTTTCTCGGTTTTGTACGGGACGCCAGCCTGAAATTTTTCAAATTTTTAAAGCAAAAAAAACATAATGCCCAAATAACAAAACAATATAGATGAAATACAACAGTAAAAGTCGAAATGGGAAACAGATGACAATCCGAAAGATCCTCGGAAACTTTGAGTGGGGGCAAACAACCGGGCAGATCCCCTGTCCTCGCCCCCCCCCCCCTTCCTC